TAATGTTCAATTTCGAATGAAGTTTAATACACGGGAGTCTGATACCAAGACACGTAACTGTCAACATCGTCTGAGATAGAAATTATAATTAATTATTATTCAAAGTGTGAAATTCTGATTTTCAAAATTCCAGGAGGGGGGAGCAGTGAAAATCACAGAACATCAATCAGCTGCCTCAGGGTAAAAAAAAAATTATTATAGGTTACTGTAAATTATAGGTTTCATAGATTTTTAATGTACAATTGACAATGCTGTCAACCGTCTAAAATGTCGTTTAACATTATCTAGACTCTAGAGTATTTTCGAATCAATTATTCAATTGGAATATTTTCATTCCGTCGTCAGTCGAAGAACCAATTCATAATTCACATGAACGCCGCATGGAAATTCGCCCACGAATAACTGTTGTGATGCACCGAAAAAATAATTAATTAGAGAAAATTGTTGAAGTGAACTAACTAACATCCTTCAATATATAGTCCCACGTATCCTTCACACATGGCCCGCGTCTTGGGTTGGCAGTCGACAAGCGTCCGTCTGCTGCGAGCCTGCGAACAGCCGCTGTCCGACTTCAGTCTGTGTCCATCAGCGTAGCTATGTGGTGGCGGCTGTATCCCTCGTCCAGGTTTCGTTTACTGGTGTGCCGTTCTACTCGCAAAAGCGACAGTTTTTGATGTTTAACCATCTGTTTATGCTGCGAGTCTTACTATGTTTTAAACAGATCTTCTTATAGTCTAATTCGTGGTCCATTGCGGCTGCTAAAGTGTTAGTGTGTGGTGTTAATGGATCACATCATTGGTTCCTTGTAGAGCACTTGTGCAACAATAGAATCAGAGATGTGCGCAGAGAGAGGGTGGAGTGAGAGCAGGCACGTTGCTTGCTAGATCGATCCCGGACAACCAACGCTGACTGGGAGTGCCGATACAATCTCAACTTTGATATGCACTTGGTAGTGCTAATTGTCTTATTATTGAATGGCGTATTTTATCCATTATTAAATCATCATTGCTACAATTGCAAAGTAATATGTACGGGCAGTACGGCAATTAGTGCATGACTAGAGATGAAACTGAAAGTAGATTTTTGACGATTATGACTGTATAAGGACTGGTTTAAAATTTAATAGATACGTATTATTTAATTTGTGTTGATCTGATCACTTCTAGCTTTGAAATCCTAATTTGTATGTAAGCTGACAGCTATGATATAATGAGGGAACCTCCATGCTGCATGCACTTTTCCCAATTAGTGTTATTTTTGTGTCACTTAACATTTTTAGCGCATTGATGACTGAAAAATCTCAAGACAAAAATTTGTCAATAAATTTGCTTATAATAGCCCATTTTCAGTGTGATTTAAGCATATAATTTCAGTTCATACCGCGTTTCTCACTTTGTTTAAATTTCCATGTCCTTGTATGGAATTTATCGTTTTGTAAAATTTAGTCAAGTATATAAATATAATCATTTTCTTTTACATCATTGAATTTGAACTTACTATCAGTGTCCAGTACTTTATGGAATTACAGTTATGGCAAGTTTTATTTGAAGGAAACCAATCATGAGCAAGTAGAAAATATTTACCTTATTCCATAGCTCTTTTTTGGTGAAATATTCAAACAGGAGAATACCTTTGAAGAACGGCAACAATTTATAAGCAACACCATGCGGGGGGTAAGTATGATGTGCATACCTGCATTTATTTGAAGTATATTTTATCCTCCATTCTCTATCAATTGTCTCCATTATCGTCGTAATTTTGTCTCTCTGTAAATCAAAACTCTTTCATGCTGAAATTGTTGTATAAAGTAAGTTAATCACTTCTATCTATACTTGAGTATATAAATTCCTGCTGGCGTTTTGTCAGGTGCAATTGCTTCGAAATTTATTGAAGTATTTGACTAAATTTCCTGCCTTCTGAACATAATTTCGTGAACATCGGTAAGCTATTGTGGCGGAAACAAATTCTGCTGAGCATTGAGTATTAGATTCCGGATTGATGCGTCAGTATTTTTGCAACATTAAGCGAAGTTACCATGATTCATCATTCAAATCAATTGCATTTTTAAGTTTTGCATGATCTCGTTTGTAATATTATGGCAAAATACTTGATGCGTAGGCGAATTGCTAATTCAAAATTATCATCATCGGCGGCAGCTTTATCAACAGCTGACTGTCGTGTAAGTTACGTTCCAGTTAGTTATAAGCCATTTTTGCGTTGTTTTTCCATCATACGACTGTACCTCAACTAAATTGCTATCTATAGTTGATGAACATTTGCAGACACAATTTTTGATTGAGTTTACTTGCACGAACTGTGCCTGCGATGGGCCCGGAAGCCTGGCGTTTGAGCAGACGATGAAATTGGAGTAATTTGCGGCGAACTGCCTGAATCTATAAGCTGTGCAGTTGCGTCCAAGCCATTAAATCTTGACTTGACTGCTTTTTGCGTGTTGCAAAATGTTCCAGAGAAAGTGTTGCCGAGCAAATTAGTCCAGTGGTCGTTCTTCGGCTCCTCCAGCCAAAGAGCGAATGTGAATGCTTGCAATCTCTTCTTGCGTTATCAGGTGTTAATGTCACAATTTTACTATAGTGCTTCGGAGGCTGAATATTTAGACATCGATAATGGAGCGTGAGCTATTAAAATCTGTCATTGTCTACTAACCATGACAGTTTTTCCAAAAATAACAAAATTTCCGTGATGTATTTACTTATTTACGTATTCCCTTATCCGGCTTCGTCACTGTTTGGATATAAATGTCAGCAGATAATAACACAATAGACGTGTCAGCCGCCTCTCCATTGTAGTTGTTCCAACCTACAACTTCATCACTCATATATCCCATTTGTGGGTGTCACTTGTACCCGCATCCGCTCGCTGGACGAATGTTCCTTCCTGCCAGCCTAAGATGTGTTGATGTAACGCCCACTACTGACCTCTCTGGATTAACCCACATACCGTCAGCCTCAAAGAATAATGAGTTTTCAATCGATGCAGGGTACGGCCTTAATTTCGATTAAGTCGAACCCTCCCTCTAAACAGGAAATGCATTTTGATCAGAGTGCTACGCAGCTTTAGATTCAGAAGCTGCAAATTAAATTGTAATCGATTGATTTTAGTATATTAATTATTGATGAGTTGTTACGTATGTAGCTCGACTAATCTAATTTTATTTACGTTTAGTTTTACAGTTTGTATTGGCTTTTGATGCATGTTCAAGGTCTGGTCTACTCGGCAAGCTCGAACCCTCCGACCAGGAATCTAGAAGATTCTCGACGCCGGAAGACATTTTTACTGCGACCTTCTGGAGGCTGCTGACTTTTTTTCAGCCTCCACGCGACACCTGTTCAATTGTTGAGATTTAGCCATTATAGTACCTCGATCCGTCGCTTTTATCGAGATTTCATGTTCAAACTATGACAGGGAATAGTTTTATATCTTGTAACTCAGTGGTTGTAACCTCGAATTTATATTCTCTTGATTTTTAGATTAAATCTGACGGATCTATATACATTTCTGAAATGTGCCGTTGATCAGTTCATTGCCACCCTGCTGAATGTAGATGATATTATTAAATAGTTTTTCGTGATTTTAGTTTGTTTTTATTAAGTTGTAAATGTTATCGATGAGCGTGTTGAATGTGCGTGCTTTAAATTTTCAACACTCTTTATACAAGCTGATATCTTGTATTTCACACCTTTTTACTTTATTCTCGTAAGCTGAAGAAAGAACATTTGTAATCGAGTGGAAACGTATAAGGTGCGTCTGGCGCTCGCGGTTGTGCGGTTGCAAGGCGACTTTCTATTCAGTGCATTGGCGTCGTGGTCTGGCTGTTTTCTTCTTCAGTCGCGGTTACTTCACTGTTCCTGCTACGGAGTGGACTAAAGCAAGCCTTTTATTCCCATCGAATTATTCAATGCTTACATAGCCGTCTGCAGTTGGTAAATAGTAGTTATAAACTTATATTCTTCATTTCTTTGTTGTGATGATATAAAAAATATTATTGAAATTCTATCCATTCTATCTCGGCAAAATTCGATGTTTAATGGGCGTACAAATGTAAAGTGGTGAAATTTCAATGAGCTTGCCGCCATTCGAAATGCCCAAGTGCATTAGTTATAAGGCCGTTGCTCCACCGTCTTCTCCTTTAGGGAAATTTCCGTTAAAATATTCAAGTTTGAGTCATAATGTAAGTACGGACAAACTCATCCCATTATATATGAGGGTCTCCGTGCATGAGTTATGAAGTGAAGGTGTCAGTAGAATGTTAAGGTTTGCTGCGTTGTAGCCAAGTTCTGCAGCCGTCCCTCCATTGCACCGGCTTCGTCGGCCTGTCTAGACATGCCATTAGAAGCCCGGCTCCGCTCCACCAATAATTTCCTGTAAATATGTCAAACTCGCGCCTGTTTTAATTCCAGCCATCTGGTCTCACTGAGACTAGTCTTTGGACTGCTCAGAAGCCGCTTTATTGCGTACGGACGTTCTATGGCAGGTTGTTGAACTGATTGAACAAACATAGGATATTAATATATCATATGACTAATTACTAATGTATCCTATATTAGTAACCGTTTTCGAAAGTAAATACTTCATCTGAAATTTGACAAAAGTTTGCAATGTGGACATTGTTCTCGTCCCTAACCACTGATGACTGTTGAAGTTGAATCATACAGCAAAAGTGTTGAGTTCACGTAAACTGGAATGATGTCTATGCAGTAAGTGTGTGTTCAAGGAGTAGTTGTTACTTTTGTAGAGTTTTTTTAATACCGGTATACGAGGTCATGAGGCGTATATTCGTAATATAAATCTGAATGTTAGGTCTGACCTTCGGAAAGAAAATTGATGATAAATTTGTATAACCTAAACTCGGAAAATGAAGTCTTGCAGTCTTTGTTCTGTCTTTTAAGCTTATCGTCAGCGCTATCGCATCGATATGGTGATATGCACTTAATAGAGATAACCATGAAGTGTTTTCTTCGATATCGCACGGTGAGTAACTTCTCTTGTCAGTTGCCTCCAGCAAGCCAATGGATTGTGCTGAACGTTAAAACGGCAATTTTCACGAGTTTGGAAGCATTTTTGACTGGTGAAACTTTAAAAGAAAATAATGTAAACCTACAGTAGTAGCCTTAACATTCAAGGCCAATTGTTATGTTTCATTACGTGCGTATAACGACTCCTGAGCTAATTGTAAAGTGCTTTTGAGTTATTTAAACGATAGATAGGGAAGTAATTCTAGGACAAATTCTGAAACGATCAAACGAAAATTGAGTAACGACAATGTTATCAAAAAACAAAGAAAAGAAAAACCCTGCGAAAGGTTTGCAGAATTATTTTTCTCTACCGCGCCGAAAAAAGAAGAAACAGATTGAACAGATTGAAATCTCTGCTCCCCTTTCGGTAACTGGATTGATTCAAGGAAAACTTTATGACCCTAGAGGAGACTGTTCTGTTTCGGATAGCTTAAATATCTCCGTAACAGATCCAGGCACAGACGCATCCATCGGTTCTAATGTACTATCTTTTCGAAATTCATGCGTCGAAAATTATACAAAAGCCATCAATGAAGATCATCAAACACCAAATTCCCCTTTGAGTGATCAAGGAGACGATTGCACTGATGGCAGATCAACAACGGACAACTTGGTTGATCTCAGTCGTGTGTCTCTCGAGAAATCAAGCGAAACTAAGACTTTTAGCTTTGGGATCACACGGGATGTCTCCGATGACAGTGGATATGGTTCCGTAAAATCGTTAACATCAGTCAACGAACGCAACACAGTCTGGAGCAATCATCTTGCAGTACCACTTGAATCTGATTATGACACTCCCAAATCGGCAAAGGATTCTGGTCATGACCACCCAAAATCTACGGATTCCGATTACGACTTACCGAAATCAACGAAGAATTCTGATAATGATTACCCAAAATCGACGAAGGATTCTGATTATGATTACCCAAAATCGCCGAAGGATTCTGATTTTGAGTACCCAAAATCGACGATGGACTCTGATTATGATTACCCTAAATCGCCGAACGAATCTAATTTTGACAACCGTAAATCGGTTAAGGAATCTGATTATGACTGCCCAAAATCCTTAAACGAATCTAAATTTGACATCTCTAAATCTTCCGACAAATCTGATTATGATGTTCCAAGACCTAGTCATTCTGACTATAAACTAATGAGCGCATTCTCTAATACTAATAGTCACACTCAGCAACACTCGTTAAAATCATGCCCAAACGTCTCACAAGTTCCCAGCGAATTCGGCTATGAATTCGATTCGACACTATCATCACATGAGTTGAATAATACTTCAATCGATTTTGATTACTTGCAAGCCTTACTTGAGACGAATGACCTCATGAAAAATATTATGAAATCAAATCACAATAGCTTATCGTACCGGCGTGTGAAGAAGGAAGAATTTCGACGTTCACACGGAGAGGTAAAAGAGGCTGAGAAGAAAACGGGATTACCGGAGGACTCGTGGGATAATTCATCCAATGGATCTCCTCTGCAAGTTATTAATGAGTCGGCTGAATTGGATTTAACGTCCAAATCCTCAGTAAAATATCTAGTTTGCAGTTCCACCTCTGGCAGTTCCAATTGTCAAGCAGAAGGTGGGGATTTGAAAGTTCATGTTACAATAAAGAGCAGAATACAATCTTCTGGAAATGCAAACCTCCCAATTATCACGGTTAATGACCTCACTGAACCATCGCCTAAACTGAATGGACTTACAGAAGAAAGTAGTAGTGATCCCTTTGAAAAGAGTTCTGTAGACGGCGATCGGGTAAGGAACTATGATTACCTTCTCAAGATAGTTGCGTGTTTTAATAATAACCTTGATTTGGAATTGTATAAACAGCTGAGATATTAAGAAACGTGACATACAAACCACGTTTGAATGGTATTTTCCCTTATGTTTTCCATGCTGTTCATTGCTTCGTATATGGGTTGACTAGCTAGTATCCATCATGTCATTTTTCTACATTTGTTCATCGTTTTAACATCGTGTATCGTGGTTTTCTTGTTTCCGAAAAGATTCATCATTATTTATTTGTATTGAATACCAGTAGCTGGAAAAATTTCGAAAAAATTACAAAATAGATTAATAAAAATAATAAATATTTTAAAAAATTGACTAATGTAAAAGAGATGTGAGACACGACTGTGCTAAATGCTAGATCAAAATGTTCTCGACATTATTCGTAGGCGCTGGAAAATGCGTCGATTCTTATGTGGTCTAACTTGCATGGCGCCATAGACATCCTTACAGGCGGCGACGCTCCAAATGTGGATACGCATCTCGCCTCGATCTCCGCGCTGACTTTTCTCTGCAAATAAGAAGGCGACGCGGACCGTGCAGATGTACAGATATGTTGTCCAACATGACAACCGAACCACAAACTGCTTAAAAAATATAACTCAGTACTCACTGCAGTGAGTGACAGAGAGCTCATTTTCTCGACGAAAACGTGGAGTCACGGACAGACAGACAGACGGACATGACGAGCACAATAGCTCCTTTTCTCCATAAGTGAGAAAATGCATTAAAAATTATTTATGTTCAAAGTTCCTGCTGAACTTGGATGCAGTAACCATGAAAAATTAATTGATAGTTTCTCGATCGGAAATTTCGAAACAATCCTGCACCAAACAGCAAAATCTGCAACCAAAAGAACCTGCAAAAACGGCGATCAAACTGCTAGGCATGCAATTTTTTAATTTAAAATCAAACTGATTTGCATTTCACTCCTCATTCCTATCATTTAACTCCGTTAGATTATTTCAACACAGTGAAGCAAAGTTAATCACTAGTGTTCATTTGCTCCTCATTTCATGTGCTAAAGAATTCAATAATCGAGGCTCGTAGACAGCACCGCCACCAGGGGCACGGTGGCGCGTGCTGTCGTCGCTGAGCCGAGGCCCGTGAGGCGTCTTTAGTATTGATCACTGGAGCTGGGGGAGGTGACGGGAAGGTTGAAATACTCTCCACTGCCTTCCCCCAGGTTCTTTATAAAGAGGAAGTCATCTTATACAGTCCCAGCTTGAATTTACGATATTCAAGCTTTTAAGGCAGTACGAGTGCGTTGCACGGTAAAGAGGAAGCGATCTTATACAGACCCGGCTTGAATATACGGCATGCAAGCTTTTAAGGCCGTACGAATGAAGGACTAAGGAGTGCGTTGCACGAAACCCTGTGCTTACCGTGTACATGTTTCTGTCTGAAAAGCAGCCTTGCAAGTTTCTTGCGTTGAGAAAGTAAATTTAATCGATTTTGAACCATTAGTATGCAAAAGACGTATACGCCTTTGTTAATGTTAAAAACATGCTCGAAAATTCTCCTCTCATGTTATCGCATGTTTAAGGAGCTGATATGCTGACACCGGGCGTTCTGAAAGGGTAATTTTTCCCACCGTTTCGTGGGAGGTGAGCGAGTGCCGTCGATAATGTATGCATTCTTGCCTCGCTACTCAGCTGTGTGCATTGTCCTTATCAAGAGCGCCAGGCCTATCTTGGTCTTTAATACACGCAGCCTCCAGCTGCATTGCCAACCAGGCATATGATGCATGCTTGCGTGTCTGTTGCTGCGTGCCCTGTTGCTTGTGGTACTGAGTGTTGCTATATACCGGTACCTATCTTAATAGTCGTTTTGAGAAAAGAACTGTCGTGCTGAAGTTGCTGTAACAGGCATATCTGAACCATGAAAATTTACCGGTTGGTGAAGCTCATTGTCTTGAAATACCGTATTTTTGCCGATTGCCGTAGCCTTGTAATAGTTCGAATTTAAAAGCAAGTGCATATCTTCACCAAATCTAAGATCGACTGTATGTATATATACCTATAGCCGAACCTACAGAACAATTTAATTAGTTTGATGCGTAAAATATCGGTTATCCCATATCATTTATTGAGTTAACTACACATACGAGACCTTGAATTCTTGCTAGCGTTGAGACGTGTTACCGCAGCCACGGAAAGTGCCGGTGTGTCGTCGTCAAAATAAGTTGGGCGTCTCTGTAGATTGCGTCATTTCCTGTGCGTCGGTATCTCTCTGGCTGCATTGTGTCGGTAACGCAACTGTGTGGCACTTTATTTCTCTCTACTTCACATCAAATTTTTTTAACTTTCACAGCTTTAATTATTTAGTTAGGCGGAGTCTCTGTAGATGCCAGTCAGGCATTCTTTGATTACAAAAATTCGAACAAAAAATACACCAGTTTGGGGGTGGTTGTTGGACTGGTCAAAATTACCAAGATTAGAGCAGCCAGTTGGGTGTTGTAAACCCGCTGCTAGTTGTGAAAATTCCTGTTGATATCAGTAAGGTGGCCGAGTGGGAATCAGAGGCAGGTCAACATGGCCTAATTAAAGTTAACGCCACCACTATATTGCCATACACATTAGAACTGGCCGAAAATCGCTTCGGGAGGCACCCGCCAATAAAACTCGGCAACAACAAATTTTATTTTATCGGTCGATCTAGACGCTTCCCACCATCCCTTATTATCGTCAAAGTTTTGAAATTTAACACAAATAAATCAGATAAGCATTTCTTTCGCTTTTCCTGCTTTATCGGAATGATATGGATTCTTAGCAATTCCTAACTGCAGCTTGTCTGCTTTCTTTTTTGACTTTACTTGCAGTAGTAGCATAATAATGTAGAATGTTAATGATAATTTTGTGAGATGCTCTTAACTAGCTGCATTTTGAGGAAGCATATTTAATTTTGTTCGAGTTACAGTTTGTGTCTTTTTGTATAACAAGCAGTAACTTCTGCATATGCATTGCTTCGAAAAGATGACACTATTTCTGATTAAATTCTTCTCATAATACCGGCATTTTATATTACGTACGCTAAACTACACTGTGATTGACTGAAGAAGGTAACCATGATGCTTCAATGATAGCAGTGCAAACTCGAATCAAGAATACAATCGAATAATTTATAATTTTAGCAATGCTTGGCAAGGTAAAGGGTCTGATGCGATTAATCGATGCGGTTGTCTAGCTAAATTGATCCTATCTTTATGCCAGAACCAGTTCTCTTCTGACAATCTACCTCCGGGCACAGCATCGCTACCATTAGAACAAAATAAGCAGTTGGTTGAGATCTGTGAGTTTCTTCTCAAAGCCTTCGATCTTTTTGCCCGCATTAATTATGAGAGAATCGAGACACTGAAATGAAAACAATATTAGAAAAAACGACTCTAGTTGTTGATTGTGTTCTGATTTTTAAATGTTGAAAGTAGTGAAGTCTCTAAACCAAAGTTATTCTTTTCTTTATCTATTCACTTTTTTAATTATGCTGTCAATCATGAGACAAAAAAAATGCTCGTGCTTATTTTTTTAACGCGTGACATTGAACTCAGATTGAAGAATCCCGTGTCTAATTGAGTAAGATTTACTGTGATCGAGTAACATATACGAAGAACATAAGCAATTTTTTCCAACAATAAAAGATTCAAAGTTACTGACAGACTCAGAAGCTATCTCGAAGTGAAAGTGTTGGCACCACAATATCTTTCATTTGCGCTGACTATATATTGAGGTTGCTCGATCAAGCCATCCTGGTCATGCGTGAGGCGCTGCATCAGCTCGCCGTAATGAATGCAGGGTTGCGGAACACGACACTTGTTGTGCTGTGCACCACTCGTGCTGTCTCATTAATGAGCAACATTAACTTCAGGGGTCTCTATGACTAAGGTAAACACATTAATCGGCATCATTGTATGCTTCTTGAAATAGAAGCTTTTGTTATTAATTAAGATTCTGGATTTAATTATTTTCGTAACGACGGGCAATCTCCCTTGAAGGCGTTCTTTGATTGTCCCGAGTACGTCAATGCATACGTTACTCTAGCAATATGGCATGTAGGTACGTACATTGTTTAACTATCTTCTAGCAACATATTCTGTTATGGAAAGTAATAATAATTTAAGGTTCTATTCGTTTGTAAGCTTTTCTCATATGAAACCTCTAAACCCCATGTACTGAATTTTTTTCTTATTATTGAAAATCGATACAGTTAACATGAACTAGCTTGAGACGCATCGTAGTGAAATTCGATATTTCCTCTAGCGTAACCATTTCTTAGCTCAAGTCAAGGACCGTAGAAATAGTTAAAATGTTGTCGGTGGAAAGCTTATTCTGTCCGTCAATGTTTTATGACTAAATGCATTAAGCTTAACAGCTAGCTGAGAAGGGTTCCGGCTTTAACAACTGCACCATATGGTTGGCTCTGAAGCCATTGTATAGTTTTCCTACTATATTTTCCTATTTTTCATCACTACTATAGGCATGTGATGGTAAAAGTTACTACGTTTTCTAAAAGAAATAGCCTAGAAAAATACAAAGCTGTAATCAACATCATTGATTTGCGATACGTTGTTTTGAGCGATATTTATAGGTTACTCATGAATGACTGTGGTTGGGTCTTTTATATCAGTATATGAAAAAAATTGTGAAACTTGTGTAAGTGTGTTTGCTCATGCAGTTATCTATACCATTTGTCAGATTGTAAATTTTCTCCGTGTCTAAATATTTAACATAGGTACTTTCTTTGAAGAATATTCCGCTTAACACAAATTATCCACTTTCAAATAATTACTTATGTTTACTCTGAAGTAATAAAGCTTGCTTACGAGCATCGCCAAACGTTGTTTAAGCTCACTCCGATGACTATGTATTAAATTTTGCATTTTCTATCGTCGCTACTTGAGAAAATATATGCCAAGTGGTGAATTTTGTTTATTTCCTGTCCGAACTTTTGCTCCAAGATCCTGAGCAGAC